GTTTGGTGTTGGTTTTGGGGGGAATTGGAGGGTTTGGAGGCATTTTGGGGGAGATTTGGGGGGGAATTGGGGGGTTTGGAGGTGGTTTTGGGGAGATCTGGAGGGCGACTGGGGGATTTGGAGGTGGTTTTGGGGGGAATTGGGGCATTTGGAGGCGTTTTGGGGAGATCTGGGGGGGAACAGGGGGATTTGGAGGTGGTTTTGGGGGGAATTGGGGGATTTGGAGGCATGGGAGGATGGTGGAGGGCATTTTGGGTGGGTCAGGGGGTGTTTGTGGGGCTGGAGAGGCGTTCTGGGTGTCCTGAGGGTGTTTCAGGTATCCCAAGGGGTGCTTTGGGTATCCCAGATGAATTTTGAGTGTCCAGGGGATATTCTGGAGCGCCCGGGGGACATTTTGAGGTTCCCAGATGACATTTTAAGGCGCCATGGGGATATTTTGGGGTTCCCAGGAGGTGTCCCCGGGGTTCTCACAGGCGGTTCTTCATCTCCTCGGGGGATTTGCGGTGCAGCTCCCGGTACGAGTCCTCGAAGACGTGGTCGCGCCGGACGTGCACGGCCATGTCCTCCTTGCGCAGCCCCTCGTCCAGGCGCTCCAGCTCCTGCCTGAAATACCTGGCCAGGGCAAAAAGGGGGTGGTCAGGAGCTGTGGGACCCCCCGGGACACCCCCCCATCCTGGACCACCCCCCAAGGCCACGCACTTGCGCTTGACGTCGAAGTCCAGCACGCGGATGTAGTCGACCAGCACGGCGAAGGGGCCGTCGGCCAGGTGCGTGGTGGACTGCCGCAGGATCTGGTTCAGCACCGTCCGGTGGGTCTCTGGAGGGAGGGAAATGGGGTTTGGGGGTGTCCCCAAACAGAGGAACCCCCCTCGTGGAACTCCCTACGGTTGTGGTCTCGGAATGAGCTGTTGGCGGCCCCGCTCTTGGCACGCACCGACCTCAAAATGTTGAGGGGGTCAAAAATCCTCCAAATTTCCCTCTGCTAAAGACTTGAGGAGCCCAAAAATCCCCTGAATTTTCTCTCCCTCAAAGACTTGGGGTTCCCCCAAATTTCCCCTTTCCAAAGCCTTGAGGTTCCCCCATATTCATCCTCCCAAAGCCTTGGCGTTTCCCCAAACCGCTTCCCGATGTCCCCAAAACCCCTCTCAAATCCCCCCAAACTCCCTCCCCACACTCCCAATCCCCTTCCCCACAGCCTCAGCTCCCCCAAAGCCCCCAAACACCCTCCAAGTTGCCTCCGCCCCCCCAAAACCCTTCCTAACTCCTTCCCCACCTTCCCAATTCCCAAACCCCCTCTGGTGCCCCACTAAAGCCACCAAACACCCTCCAAGCTGCCTTCAGCCCCCCAAAACCACCTCCACAACATCCCAATCCCATTCCCCAAATCCTAAACTGCCCCAAAACTCCACCCAAAGCCCCTAAACACCCTCCAAGCTGCCTTCAGCTCCCCCAAAACCCTTCTCAGAACTTCCAAACTCCTTCCCAACCCCCTAACCTCCCCCAAAACACCCTCCAAGCTGTCTTCAGCCTCCCAAAACCCTTCTCCAAACTTCCCAACTCCCTAACCTCCCCCTAAACACTCTCCAAGCTGCCTTCAGCTCCCCAAAACCCTTCTGCAAACTTCCCAACTCCCTAAGCTCCCCCAAAACACCCTCCAAGCTGCCTTCAGCCCCCCAAAACCCTTCTCCAAACTTCCCAACCCCCTAAGCTCCCCACAAAACCTTAAACACCCTCCAAGCTGCCTTCAGCCCCCCAAAACCCTTCCCAGAACTTCCAAACTCCTTCCCAACCCCCTAACCTCCCCCTAAACACCCTCCAAGCTGCCTTCAGCTCCCCCAAAACCCTTCCCAACGCCCTCCCCACACCCCCAAAGCCCTCCCCAGCTTTCCCAGCGCCCGGAGCAGCGGCTCACCGGCGAAGCGCAGGAATTTCTGCGTGTCCGGGGGCAGGCTGGCCGAGATGTGCATGGCCGAGGGCTCCCGGGAGAAGAAGGGGTCCAGGGCGGAGGGGGTGGCGGGGGTGAGGGGCGCGGGGGACAGCGGCGGCGGCTCGTCCTTGATGTGTGCCAGCTGGCTCTCCCGCGTGTCCCGCACCGGCGGGCGGCTCTCGCGCTCCGTGGCGTGCACCAGGAAAAACGCCTCGACGGCCGGCTGCAGCACTGCGGGACGGGGGTCAGGGCGGCGTGGGGCGGGGGCGGCACGGGGACGGGGTGGTGTGGGGCAGGGGGATGGCACGGGGACAGCAGGGGGACGGGGTGGGGCAGGGGGATGGCACGGGGACAGCATGGGGATGGGGTGGTGACAGGGTGGGGACAAGGTTGGGTCAGGGGGACAGCACGGGGACAGGGTGGGGACAGGGTGGGACAGGGACAGCATGGGGACGGGGTGGGGACAGCGTGGGGACAGGGTGGGTCAGTGGGACGGCAGGGGGACAGCATGGGGACAAGGGTGGGGACAGGGTGGGACAGGGACAGCACGAGAACAGCATGGTGACGGGGTGGGGACAAGGTTGGGTCAGGGGGACAGCATGGGGACAGGGTGGGGTCAGTGGGTGGTGTGGGGCAGGGGGACAGGGTGGGGACAGCGGGCAGTGTGGGATTGGGACAGCACAAAGCAGGGGGCATGGGACAATGCAGAGTGTGGGGTCAGTGGGGTGGGAACGGGATGGGGACAGGGTGGGGTTAGCGGGAACAGGATGGGGACAGCATGGGGCTGGGGGACAGGGTGGGGTCAGCGGGTGGTGTGGGGCAGGGGGACAGGGTGGGGTCAAGGCAGGGTCAGTGGGTGGTGTGGGACGAGGACAGTGCGGGGCGAGCGGGGTGGGAATGGAACAGGGCGACACGATGGGATGGAGGTGGAGGGGAACACCCTGGGACGGGGAGGGGGACACACCGGAATAGGGGAAGGGAACATCCCAGAACTGGGGGGACAGCCAGGGATGGGGGGAACGCTATGGGGTGGAGGTGGGAACACCCCTTGATGGGGGAGAACAGCCGGGAACAGAGGCTCCAGCCCCCTCCCATGAGGATTTAGGGTCACCCCTGTGGTTTTGGGGTCCAGGCCCCCCACCATGGGGATTTCGTGTCACCCATGTGGTTTTGGGGTTCAGGACCCCCACCATGGGGATTTCGTGTCACCCATGTGGTTTTGGGGTGCAGGCCCCCCACCATGGGGATTTCGTGTCACCCGTGTGGTTTTGGAGCCCCTCTAGAGACTCCAGCCCACCGCCCTGGGATTTAGGGTCAGCTCCGTGTTTTTGGGGTCCCTCCCCGGGATTCGGGGTGACGCACCGAGCACGGCGTGCTGGTCGTGGGACTCCTCGAGCTCCTTGAGGCACTCTCCCAGCATGTCCCACAGCTCGTCCAGGCTCAGCTGCTCGCTCAGCAGGGGCAGCTCCGGGGGCCGCTCCTCCCGGTCCCGGTCCCGGTCCCGGTCCCCGCCCTGCGCCGCCTCGGGGCCTGGAGGGGGGGACACGGTCAGGACACCCCCGTGTGACCAGTGCCACCCCACCAGGGACACCAAGCAGGGCCACCCCACCACTGAAACCCCCCCAGTGACACCCAACCCCACCAGTGACATCCAACCAGTGCCACCCCACCAGGGACACCCCACCAGTGCCACCCCACCAGTGCCACCCCACCAGGGACACCAAGCAGGGCCACCCCACCACTGAAACCCCCCCAGTGCCACCCAACCCCACCAGTGACATCCAACCAGTGCCACCTGCCCAACCAGTGCCACCCAACCCCACCAGTGCCACCCCCTGCTCTGATACTGGGATGACCCTGCACCAGCCCGGGAGGGGGGATGACCCCAGTGGTGGCACTGGGGATGACTGGGTGACACTGGGTGGCACTGGGCCGTACTGGAGGGTGACTGGGTGGCACTGGGAGTTACTGGGCTGCACTGGGCCGTACTGGAGCGTGACTGGGTGACACTGGGTGGCACTGGGCCGTACTGGAGGGTGACTGGGTGGCACTGGGAGTTACTGGGCTGCACTGGGCCGTACTGGAGGGTGACCGGGGGGGTTCTCACCCACGTCCTGCGGGGCGGGCGAGGGCTGGTCCACGTCCATGGGCGACTCCTCGCGCCGGGGGACGGCGTCCGCGGGCCCGGCCTCCGACTGGGGGGACGGCGGCGGCTTTAGGGGGCCTGGAACCCCCCAGGGGATCCCCCAGAGCCCCCCCGGGCTGGGGGGACCCCGAAACTGGGGGGGGAGGGGGCTGGGAGCCGCGGGGGGAGGGGGGAGAAGCAGGAGGGGGATGGGGAGAGGGAAGAAGAGGAGGAGGATGATGAAGATGGGAAAGGATGAAGGAGGAGGAGGATGAGGATGGGGACAAGCAGGACATAGAGGGAGGAAGGCTGTGGGGGAGTGGGGCAGGAGGGGAGGGGAAGAGGATTAGGAGGGGATGGGAGAATGAGGATGAGGATGCTGAGGGTCAGGGATGGGAGGATGAGGAGACACAGGCACAGGAGGAAGAGCAGGGGAGGAGGAAGGGGCAGGATGAGGATGATGAGGATGATGAGGAGGAGGGCTGGGGAAGGCAAGGATAAGGAGGAAGGGGTGAGAATGATGAGGATGACAAGGAGGAGAGGGTTGGGGAGGGTGAGGATAACAAGAAGGTGAGGTGGAAGGGGTGAGGATGATGAGGATGATGAGGATGACGAGGAGGGGAAGGCCGGGAAGGCAGAGGATGAGAAGGAGTTGAGGATGATGAGGAGGAGGTAAGGATGATGAGGAGGACGAGGTGAGGATGATGAGAAGGAGGATGACGAGGAGGGGAAGGCCGGGGAGGCAGAAGATGAGGAGAAGGAGGTGAGGATGATGAGGAGGACGAGGTGAGGATGATGAGGAGGAGGAGGTGAGGATGATAAGGAGGAGGTGAGGATGATGAGAAGGAGGTGAGGATGATGAGGAGGAGGATGACGAGGAGGGGAAGGCCGGGGAGGCAGAAGATGAGGAGAAGGAGGTGAGGATGATGAGGAGGTGAGGATGATGAGGAGGAGGAGGATGACGAGGAGGGGAGTGCCGAGGAGGCCGAGGATGACCAGGAGAAGGCCGAGGAGGCCAGGACAGAGCGCGCAGGAGCGGGAGGAAGAGCAGGGCAGGGCAGGGTGGAGGAAGGCGGCCGTGCTAACCGTGTCTCCCTGCTGCCGCCTCCGGGCCCTCTGGCCCTCACGTACCATTTGTATGATGGCGTCGGCCTCGGCCTCCAGCTGCCGGACGGCGGCCTGGATGCTGCCGGCCGCCCCCAGCCCCGCGGCGCCTGCGGGCACAGCGCGGTCAGCGCGGGCAGCGGGCAGCGGGCAGCGGGGGCGGCCGGAGCGGCCCTTACCCAGCCGGCCGGGCTGCTTGGCCTTGCGGTGCGCCCGGCGCGTGTCGTCGCGCAGCTGGATGATGACCTGCAGCACGCGCAGGAAGAAGCGCTGCGTGGACGTCTTGGAGGTCAGCACGGACATGGAGGGCAGCTGCAGCTCCCGGCCGCCCAGAGCGCGCTTCTGAGAGGCCACGATGACCACGCTCTCGGCCGTGTCGAAGCTGGGGGGACGGGACAGGGGTCAGCGGAGAGCAGAGGAATGGCGGGGACAGCGGTCAGCAGCGGGGACGTGGGGGATGAGCAGTGGTCATCAGTGGGACAACGGGGAGTGGTCATCGGTGGGACTGAGGGGAATGGGCAGTGGTCATCAGCAGGGACAATGGGAGTGGTCATCGGTGGGGCAACGGGCAGTGGTCATCAGTGGGGCCAAGGGGAATGGGCAGTGGTCATCAGTGGGACAACGGGGAGTGGTCATCGGTGGGGCAACGGGCAGTGGTCATCAGTGGGGCCAAGGGGAATGGGCAGTGGTCATCAGCAGGGACAAGGGGGAGTGGTCATCGTTGGGACTGAGGGGAATGGGCAGTGGTCATCAGTGGGGCTGAGGGGAATGGGCAGTGGTCATCAGCAGGGACAATGGGAGCGGTCATCGGTGGGACAGAGGGGAATGGGCAGTGGTCATCAGCAGGGACAAGGGGGAGCGGTCATCAGTGGGACAGAGGGGAATGGGCAGTGGTCATCAGCAGGGACAATGGGAGTGGTCATCGGTGGGACAGAGGGGAATGGGCAGTGGTCATCAGTGGGGCAACAGGGAGTGGGCAGTGGTCATCAGCAGGGACAACGGGGAGTGGTCATCAGTGGGACAGAGGGGAATGGGCAGTGGTCATCAGCAGGGACAATGGGGAGTGGTCATCGGTGGGGCAACAGGGAGTGGGCAGTGGTCATCAGTGGGACAACAGGGAGTGGTCATCAGTGGGACAGAGGGGAATGGGCAGTGGTCATCAGTAGGGACAAGGGGGAGTGGTCAGTGGTCATCAGCAGGGACAACGGGGAGTGGTCATCGGTGGGACCAAGATGAATTGTAGGACAGTGGTCAGCAATGGGGACAAGGGGGAATGGCAGGGACAGTGGTCATCACCAGGGACACCAGACAGGGACAGGAGTGGTCAGCGGTGCCCAGGACAGGGACAGGAG